TTATGAAGGAGCCGGAAAAATTTGTCAGTAAACAGTACCCTGAGCGCGTTCTTAGACTCAAAAAGGCAATCTACGGACGTAAGCAGTCCGGCCGAGAGTGGAACTCTAAGCTCGATGATGTTCTTAAGCAGATCGGTCTCACACCATGTCCCAGTGTTTGTACAAAATGACACTGAAAGGTAATTTATGTCTTATTGCTGTATATGTAGATGATTTAATTATCAGCTGTCACTCGAAGAACGATCTTACGAGAGTCAAAGCCGATATTTAAAAAGCTTTGAATGCGTGGACAAGGGCCCGATTTCATACATTTTGGGTATGCAAATCACACGAGAAGGTGAAACTGGTGCAATAGCAATTGCACAAACGCAATATATTAAAGAATTGTTAACGCAGCGTAATATGGTTGAATGTCGCCCTGCGACGACGCCCTTAGACACTGGCTTTTAAATTGGGTGCAATAGTAACAGTTGCGCCAAAATTGATGCTAAGAAGTACCAGTCAGCGATCGGTGCTTTAATGTACCTTGCGATATCAACGAGACCTGGCATTTCGTACTCAATTTCAAAATTGGCACAGCGAAACCATAACCCGCACAAAGAGCACGATTCAGGCATTAAACATGTCTTGCGATACTTAGCGGGAACACCAGATTTGAAATTAGTATATCGTGCTGTGCGCAAACCTGTTGAAGGTTATGTAGATGCGGATTGGACGATTGATCGTAAATCGTATACGGGATACGCATATTTCTTAGGAGGTAGTGCGATTCCATGGGAATCTAAGCGACAGGGTAACGTTGCCTTAAGTAGTACTGAAGAGGAATATATCGCGCTAACAACCGCTGCAAAATAAGCTGTGTATCTCAAATGCTTAATGAAAGAAATTGGTATGAGTGGTTACGAAAATGCGACAGTTCTTTACGGTGACAAACTGAGCGCTCAGCATCTTGCGAGAAATCCCATTTACCATGCACGCAGCAAACATATAAATATACGATATCATTTTGTAAGAGAAGCTGTTGCAAACAAAGACATTGAACTTAAATACACTTGTACTAATCATATGGTAGCCGATGTACCTACAAAAAAAGTAACTAAAATTAAACGTGAAAAATTTGTTAATCTCTTAGGTCTTAAGGAAACAGAATTTTAAACGATTTATTCGAGTTGAGGAGGAGTGTTGAAAGTATTTGGTACACGAACTGCTCCTGATTTTACAACACGAATAAACCGAAAAGAAGCAACACACATCTTACTAATATTATAAATGTGAAAGTTTGTATGTTTGGATGTTTGGGAAATCATCACGCGGAAACGACTGAACAGATTTGCATGACATTTCGCACAGAGATAGCTTATGACCTATTTATGTTGGAAAATAGGCTACTATTTTAAGAGTTATCACGTATTAGGAAAGTTTAATTGAATTTATACGCGTAAATGACTGAACTGATTTGCATGAAAGTTTGCACGCATATAGCTTATGACGTAGACTGGAAAATAGGCTACTCTTTTAAGAATTGCCACCTGTTTGAAAATGAAATTTTGCTCAAAGATGGTTTATGACCTGGATTGAAAAATAGGCTACTTCCCTAACCGGTTTTCCGATCAGAACGAAATTTAGTACACTTACTACGGATTTCGGAAGGATGGTCTTAGACTGAAAGTAAGTCCGATAACTCAAGTCCCCTCCCATACAAATTGGAAATTTCATATTACATACATATCTCTGGAAGTATTTGTGGGAGAGAACTGAAACTTGGTATAGTGATATGTATGTGAAATCAATGTTGGGATTGATGTTTCAATCAGTTAGTTAATTCGATTAAATTCAATCTGATTACAGTTAATCATGATTAATTTTAATCTCACTAAACAGTTAATCGTAACCGCGATTAAAAAATTAATTTTTAATCATTAACTCTTAATTTGATCAAGTAGGTTTGGTGATTAATTAAGTTATGCTGGAATTGCCCTGTGCCCACAAAGCAAGGTAATCCGGTATGGCTAAGTCGGGTTTCCTCATCAGTCTAAGCAATTTGGTGTGCATTTTCATTAAGATATATACCAACAAACGTTTTACAAACTAGGTTTGTAAAAGTTCCCAGTTTATGTATTACTAATACCAATAATTATAATTTTTTTATATTATGTGCTTTTTATAAGCGTAAAACACAAAATAAATACTATAACTGGTGTTTGGTTTCAAACTCGGACAAACTAGAAAAATTAATCAG